CGGAGTTCGTCAATAGTTGATGATAAGGAATTGTTTTCTAGGCTAGCCACAGAGCAGTCAGCCAAGAAGGGTCTTAGGGGACGACCCATTGCTACTTCACCTATTGGCCTGTATATTTGATCGCTAAAGGTGCATCGTAGCAGAGTCTTTAATTCCCGATATGCAGTACCAGATTTGTTCCCTTTGTATGTATCCAAACTTCCTACCTGTCTTGTTATTATTACCACGTCCTTATTCCGTCATTGTACGAATAGCCAAGTTTTTCAGTTATTACGATCTCATTATGTTTCTTCTATCTGATCTTCCTGTTTATTACACTTTGTAATTTTATCGATTTAACCTTTGACCTAAATTAATTCTGGAATTTCTCCCTGACGTATTGTCGAATCATATTTCGGCTGATAAGTACTAAATCCAAGTCAGCTGCATACAAAAAGGGAGTTTTACACATTTAGATAAACAACTTTTAATGACTTTAGAAATACTGTCAACTTTGGAAGCCAAAATTCATAAACAGTGTCTTCTTTGGCACCGTGATTTTTTAGTCTGGGTACGGTTTCTTTCTCGGTGTTTCTGTTGATAAACTTTCTAGGATGTGCACATAGAGAGTTGTGCAATGAGAGAGTTGTGCAATGGTCTCAGTTTCGATTCTCTTGTCGGGCCGAGATGTTCGGCCCATGCTGAACATCAGCAATCACCGGGGAATGCAGTTACATCTACTGCTAGTCACCATCCTAAGACACTGTTGAAGTATCCATATCAAGTACCAGCCAACATTTGAACACAGAGGCCGAACATCTTAGTGTAGTAGGTCATCAGGAAAATCAAAACTAAATTAAAAGACGAATAGCTGTTTTCATATTTCCCAGTTGTAACTATTCGACAGGAAGTCATCCCTTGTGTGAAAACGCTTATTTTTACAAATAACCTGGCATTCGAGCTTTCGGCAATCTGCCTTGGATCCCTAGACATAAAGACTTAGAACCATATCACGTGACTCACGATGGAACAAAGTCACAGGGATGTATGTGTATACATTAATATATACATTCTGACCGGTGTAATTTTACCTCTCAAGTTTACCTTATGAAAACACCTGCTGTACACCGTGAAACATAGTAAAACTGAAGAAATACAACTATCTAGGATGAATTCCATTTGCACATACATAGGGTGAGGATGTCAATGTTAACTAGAATATCCTAGAACAATGATCAACTTGATGAAAGATGTCTATTTGGGACAAGTGGATTTGTTAAGATTTGGACTAATTTCCCCTGTTCGATTGCATTACGAACTAAAATCAGCTAGAGAACATGGGAGCGCTGTTTCGCCTGAGTTTGAGACTCTTCGGAAATGCGCATTAACGACTGCAACCTGAGGTTGAAACCAGGACCTTTAGCTTGTTACTACTACTAATAAATCTGGAATTTTTCTTAGGTTTGAAGGTCACTGAAACCTAGCAGAACGCCATGGCTTTGTATTGAAATGATAGAGAAGATTTGTAGTTCAGATGGGTGATTTTGATTTGGTTATTTTCTCAGAGCTGGTCGATGATTGAATTGTGCCAAGAATCAGACAACAAAATTCCTTCCTGAGATACACACCTTCTTCAAGAGAAAGAACGCACAAAAGTATACAGAAAATCAACACACACACACACACAGACAGACTGACAGATCAAATACTCAGCTTCACTTAACAGCAAAAAGCCATTAACTCACACAAAAGAAAGTGTGTACCAGCATTGATTGAAGGAGTTCAAACACGCTGATGCAGCACTCCAGTGGTGAAGAGGATTAAGGAGAAATATTTACCAACTACTTTCAAGAATAAGGAATACGCCCACGATTTCGTCAGAATACGTGTTTGAAATCAAATCGAAATACCAAGAAGAAACCATGCTCATTCTAGCATACATATATATATGCATGATATCTCTGAAATAACTAATGGCTTCAATATTTAGAATATTTGAAATAAACGTAGCACACAAGCCAACCAACCAAACAACAAACAAACACACTCACTTCATTCAATATTGTGTACACCAAAAGACCCATCCAACAGCAAAAGAAGACAAGACAAACACTACACTGGTGAAAGTGGACACATCCCATTCGACGCAGAATCCAAGAGCATAAATTAGCTGGGAAAAGACACGATATGTATTCTTTCACAAAATCGATGCTAGTATGATTGTGAAAATGTAGTAATTTTGAAGAGAGGAAACACAGGAAATTTCTAGAAGCCTAGTTGGTACTCAGACGAATCATCCAGTGTTTAACACAGACACATTACTAAAGATGAAATTTACCAACTCGTGAAAACAAAATAGATCACATGACTAGAGAGTTAGAATTCCAAGTGAATACAAATGATCGACAAAGATGTAAGACTATGACTGTTACCGGAGATACCACCATTCATGGAAAATTCAAACAAGTTCATTCACTTCATATTAAAGCTTCCCCCCCCCCCAAGATGTTGTGTCTAGATGGGGGACTATGAAAGCTTCTCAATTAAATTGACCAGCTCATAGAAAACAATCAAACAAAAATATTACGCATTTCTGCTGAATTGTGAAGTTCGCTGTTGTCCATCACCAACAGTAGCATAAATTGATTCGTGTAGAAGGCTAGGAAGAATCCTATCCACACGCACACACACACACTCACACACACGCATTCAGATACGCGCACACACCGATCATTCGGTGAGTGAGTCGAATTCAAGTCGGTCAATTAGATTTTATTCAAGGAAGCCCGTTAATTACAAGACTAGATAAAAATCATTATGCATCGGTAGGCAATAATGGACAAATATAAAAAAGGTAGCCTTTTATCATCAAACATAACGCAACGCAACGCAACAAAATAAATTACAAACGAAAATCTAACATGTGACATGAAAAATTTTAAAAAATGCTGCTGCAATTAATTGCATGCCTGAAAGAACAGTAGTCAATCCAGGCATATTGACTGACAGTTGTAAACACAAAAAATCAAAGATAATTAGACAGTTCGGAAATTAACAAATGACTGTCACAAATGTATCATTATTAGCCATTGTCAGTTCTGTTCTGCAATGTTGGTGTGCATTTTAATATTTTCAGTGGGATTGGGAATGCTTATCATCGTTTTGCGTAAATCTGCATCTCCCTGCTGATCGGTTATGCTGAAAGGAAACGCTCAGTTGAAATATGTTGAAATATGTCGACTGCTAGTGTGAAGGCCACTGGGATATCTGAAAAGAACGAGACAACGAGATGATCGAGGATGTGCACTGCATCCCCAGTAACAGGGGGTAGTGTTCCCTATTAAAACACGAAATCAAATACACATCCATCCCCTGTTGTTTCAAACTACAGAACCTTATTCACTGGGCCACTAAGGGTAGATCAAGCATTTCTTGTGAAACTCGTATCAGTTATTATAGTTATAATTATTATTTTTCCCCTGGGTTCTGAATGGAACATAGGTCTTCAACAAAGTATATGCATTTCGTCACCTTCTCCACAGCTCTCTTCAACTGGAGCCACAGCAACCAATAGTCTCTCATCGCCTCCCCATAAAATCTCCCTGGTAATCACACACACCCTAACTCGTCGTTCCCCACTCAGGTTCCTCGTGAGACATGTTCTGGCGTGAAATGTCACTCAGCGGTGTCCTCAGAGTACATCCCATCAATCTTCACTTTCTTCAGAATATGTTTTGATTTGGCAATAGGTTTCTAATGGATTCGTTTCCAGAGTATCTTGCTGATAATTGTTCCAAACTGGTCATCTGACCTTCAGTATAGAGTCAGTGAAGGCACCAGTTGATGAAATTCCGCAGCCGGCTGTTGGAAGTGCTTTCCATGACACACGCGCCAAGCTTCCGGTGCATACAAAAGAAGTGACTTAAGATTTGCGTTGAAAATCCAAATCTTGTTCTTCATTCTACAGAGTGAAGAAGATTTCCAGAATGATTTCACAGTGATAAAACCAGGTCTCATCCTTCTGATACTCTGGTTTCGGTATCCTCACCTGTGCTGACTGTGTTTCTTTGAAACGATGTTGCCTAGATGAGTGAGTGAAGCAACTGACCACTTTCAATCACTTTCTCCCGTGAACAGTGATTTGTGTTTGTTGTTATTGTTGTTGTTGCTGGTGGTGGTGGTGGTGGTATCCACTGGTTACCTTCAACCACCTCCGTCTTCTCTAGTCCATCTGAACTGCCTTCCTCTCTGCCTGTCTCTTGTATCAGCTTGTTGCTTTCGGCATGTAAGCCTTCCAGTTTGTATGATGAAGCCCAAATCTTCTAGAGTCTTCTTGTCGATCCAAAGTACTTCTGTCTTCTTGCTCTCCTCCCCCACGTACTGTGCGATGTATAATTTAGGCCACCACAATTAGAAATATCATCGTGGTTGATAGCAATCAGCCTCATTTTAATCCTGTCTTCAGTGAAGAGTCATCGCTGAGTTCTTTGTTTTGGATCAGCTGACATGTGGCACTTTCATATGTCTGGCTGTTGAATGAGTTTGATAAAGATTCCACTTTTAGTCACCGTCAGTTAAAATGACATAATGCTTATTACCAACGAAACATGTCAACGGTAACTAATGAAGAAAAATTCATCAAGTTTTGAACCCTTCATCTATCACCCCACCAGGTGCTGAGTAATAAACATCCTCCAGGTTTTATCGAAGAGTTCGTTGACTATTCAACTACTGAGACTAAGTCCAGTAACCCATGAATTCTAACATCTGATAATTTATCCTGTGGCCAGTCAGTGGTGAGCACTAGATCAACTTTCGAGATTCTCAAAAGAAGGTGAAACAGGTGTTCAGTACTCTCTACTCTCTAAATTCTGTTCATAATCAAACTTGAAGTCCGCACAAATCCTAGAAAACTAACATTCTTCTTCCCGGTTATTCATTTCATATATGTATAAAAATCATAAGCTTATTCACATTAAATTCACGTATACAACACTTTTAAAATTAGTATTATTAACAGCATGTTTAACGTTGAAACTCCCCTTTCTGTTCATTCAGCTCCACCAAGAGGATTCCCTAAAGTGCATCAAGATCCATCAGCTACAATCAGTCAAGTTGGTGATTCAACACATCTACAGTGTGATGTTTCAGCTGAACCACCAGCAACAGTCTACTGGATTAAAGATCAATTCGAATTGATCGATACAAGTCTTCCAAGATTTCGAATTGTCAGTAAGTTCAATGCAACCAAATATACTACTGAAATAGTATTTTTCCTTTATTACATAAAGCTTAAAATTACTGTGGCTCAGCAACCTAATGTATTTGAAAATGATGAGTGCAGGGGTTCAAGTCCTAGTGAAAGTGTCATCCACAGTTGACGAGTCCTAATTAGGACGAAATGCATATCCTTGTTCTCTACTGATATCGTATATATGACATCTTATCTAATATATAGCCTGTATGATCCAAGACATATGAATGTGAATAAAGAATGGTTAACGCATTGTTCAGTTGACACGCGTAAAAAAAAAGATGACAGGAAGATGTGAATACGTGAATCTGTCATATTCAAATGCAATGAGATAGGAAAAATAACTTTCTTGAAATATTATCAATAAATAAAGTAAATAGAGTGTTAGAATATGATAATGTAAAGTGAGATATGACTAAATAAAAATGGAGCAACTCACAAGAAGAGCAGATTGACAACGTCTATGAGACCACTCACTGATTTGTACAGTTTTGTTCCCATAGACCGAAAAGGGAATTTAATCTCTTCTGTCTCTCGACAAGTGTCCGGAGAATTTGTAATGAAAACAGTGTTGATGATGAACTTAAGCAACTGAAATAAACTTTATATGAAAGAAGTACACAGAGCGATGAGGTATCTGAGAAAGTGCTGCATCTTAATTTTGAATTAAGCGGTGACACTGAGAGTGAATTCCTAAAAAACAGATTGACAAGATCACGAGGAAAAGAATTTTTCCATCACTCTACAAGCGAGTTTATCGAGCAGTCCACTGGTGCGACTGAAGGTCAAGGAAATGTTACCTCGACTGCACAATTTCCTGTGTGTACTTACATGTTTTACCGCTCTAGTATAGCTTAGTAAATAGGACGTTAGTCGAGAAACATATCCCAACGCGTTTGAAAAAACCTCGCAGATTGACTAAGCGAAGCAGAGAGTAAAGACATTTGGTAAATATGACCACGTAACTTCCGATACCTCTTTTAACACAGTCTATAAAGTCCGGAAGTGGGATCTTTAACAATACATAACATAATGCCAAAATTTAGTGTGCATAAACAACTTTTACAGTCTGTTTCGTCAATGACGAAACGTCTTCATAACAGAGAAGATTTGTAGCTGAGGTATATGATATTAATGTGGTTGTGTTCTCTAAGCTCGGTCATTTCATAGTGAAGATTTCAGTGTCTTTCTAGACGGCGTTTACAGCTGCTCAAAGAATACAGTTACATCTCTAAATTATCTTCCTTTGACTATACGTCAATATCTTCTGTTATTCCGACTTCGGAGTCGAATCAATGGAATCCGTGAAATATGATGGAAATTTCCACAGATGATTCTATTTGCTGACCATTTCCTAATTTTCATAGGAACTTTCCAGTATTTTCTAATATGTTCCGCAATGCATCAAGATTGAAATATGAACTGTGAGCTGGACACAAACGCGTTGATGACGACCGCTTCTTGACTACACCAGAAACATTATGCGACAACTACCTGTTTCTCCCGAGTCCGCGCTGCGTTAAGTGAGAACACACAACGATGTGAGCCAGAAAGTATATTTCATGCAATAATGTATGATCCAGAATATCACCAAGGTTACGTCAATTAGTCTGTAATCATAATAGATAAAGTAGTCGGAGTCATTTTACGTAAGCCAGTTCTAAATGGTTAATTTCCAAACTAGCTATTGATCACTTATGCGGGCCAAATTCTGATTGGTTAATTTCCAGAATGGACATCGACCACTCTATGAGTCTGGCTTGTATATTCTGTTGTTTAAATGCTTATTTCGTTTTTGTGGCATAATCAACGTTTTCACTGTTAATATTTTTACCTTTGAGTTAACGTATTGTTATTTTCTAATATCAAAATTTCAGGATCAGGATCGCTTGTAATTGAAACTCTGTTAGAAACTGATTCAGGCGCTTATGAGTGCATGGCACGTAATGAAGTCGGCACTGTACTGAGTAATTCAGGTCATCTGCATGTACGACGTAAGTTTTTGTGATTCGAAGAATCTGTTGTTTTTGTGCATATCATTCAAGTTAGATAATTTTTTTCGTTAATTTAAATGGACGAAGCTAAAGTACAGGTTTAATCGAAATGAACCATTGTCATGACTAGTTGACACCTCCGAATCCCTATTGATTATCCTATCTAAAGTCAGTCGTTATCGGATAAGTGAAGATGCCAGGTGATTCCTAATTCTTCCATGAATGCAGTCTGCCACTCAGCACCAGTCATCATAAACTTACAGTGAATATGCAAGAGTGTATCCTATTTTTAAAAGCCGTTTTAGTCAGTGTTATCAGTGCGTCAAGCTGTTTACATTGGGACGTCCCCCACTGCCTCCTTCAATTACTCTAGCTGATGTTCCTAGCTCAGGGAGCTGCTCTTTCGCCTTTTCTGTTTTCCTTCTTCTTACATGACTTACTTGCCCTACTCTCACAAAGCCAATTTTGTTAAGTATGCCGATGACCCATCTGACTGTTTCTATGCCGGCGGTTACTCCTCAGTCAGACTGTTTCAAAGTGTTTAACTTTTTATCAGATATTAGTCAGTAGTCCTCGTTAAATAGTCTTAAGCTTAATCCTAGTACAAGTGTGTGGTGGTCAATTTCACTTTCAGACGCAAACGTGACTTACGTGGACTGATCAGTTAGCACGGTTCCACTATCATAGATGCCACTAAAGTTGAAACCAAATCGAATGTTGTTAAATACCTTGTACTGTGTATTTCCTCTGATCACCTTTCCTCGTCTACTCACATCATGTAGATTGGTTTCCAGGCAAATGTTTCGTTTGACGTTCTATGTAAGAAAGTTAAGACGATCTGGTATCATTCCATCTCTACTGTTACACTTTGTTAATTCTTGTATTCTGCCTATACTTCTTTACTGTTCCCAAACCTTAATCGATCCTGGGTTACTTAAGAAAGACTTTATTCGTTACACTGCAAAGAGCCCTAAAAGCCATCAGTAGGGTGAGTGAGTGGGGTGTTGCTAAACGAACTCGTTAGTACTATCGTAGACAGACAAATGGATTCCTGAAAGAAATCAGCAAATATTATCCTGTCAGACTGTGGACATCGTCTCTCCTCGCATCTATCTCATTACATAGGGGAACTAGAAGTAGCAGCTTTAGAAGACTGTATGCTCGGACGATTGAGTACAAAGTCTCTACAATACGTTATTCAGTCGGGACACATTTTAGGTGATGAGAGTAGTGTAGGACAGGAAATTAACAACTTACTGAGGAACTCTAAGTGAACAGCCCCATTTTTTGTTTTGCTCTCATTGTTACATTGTCGTTAGTATTTTCACTTGATTTAATTTTATATTCATTTTCTTATTGAACAATATTATGAATACAAATGCCCTACTTTAATTATTTGACCCTTGTAATGATTAAATTAGATGCAGTACTTACTGTACTACTATTTTATTCCTTCACGTTCCCAGTGGTGTTTATTTTTTACAGGATGGGGTTTCTAGCCTCATGCCCAACCTTTCCTCTTCACCAGCTTTTAGTTCTGGCTTAGCGAGCTAAAAGAGTGCGTCGGCCGGGGATCAAACCCCAGACCATGTGCATGGTCGGCGAGCGTCCTAACCGCTATGCCACCGACGCTACTGTACTACTACATGCTGGAAATTCCACATTGTGCTGTTCGGAATAAAGCTATTGTTATCATTACTATTTTTATTTAAAAATATTTTCAATGAAATATGAAACTTACTCATCCCAATAATAATAAATTCTAATCGACTTCCTCTCCATTAAGTCACTGACTGACTGCCAGCCAAATGAATACTAGCTAGTCTTCTGTTGTTTTAATGATTACTTTCCAAAAAAGAAAAGAAAACCGAAAAATAATTTCGGTGAAATAAAAATAAAAATTTCAACACGGGGGAAATGTTTGTGTGTGCGTGTGTGTGTGTGTGTCAAACAGCTAATACTTTTAGACTGCCAAAGCAAAGAGAAATTCTCACATATCAAAAAAGGCTTATTGACTCTCTTGGCAATCGGTAGTGTGTTCTAAAACACACACTTGCTTTTCTTATTCTATATTCCATCGATTGTAATTTGATATTTATTCATCAGTAAGTAGTGTTACCAGAGAGAGTGAGTGAGTGAGAGAGGCAGAAATGGAAACACAAGTAGACGATTGCATCATTTGCAACCAGCTGTTGGTTGACAATGAGACTATAGTTCGGATAATATGGGTATGTTTTATATGTGTATGTAATGACTGAACGATATCTCCCATTGGGAGTTATTAGTCTTCCGAGTAATACTATTTGTTGACACCAGTGCATAAAAACAATACACACTGTCAGTGTGGGTGTTTTTCACTTGTTGTTGAAGATATTGGATTTCATGCCTTGGTACAGTATATATACGATAGGGATTTCACATTATAGAAATATGTGAAACTGATGACGCGGTGCGTGGGGGGGGAGGGCGGCGAGGATTGAGGGTGACAGTGCACGCACCCACCTATGAAGTGTGATTCATAATTGTGGTTTGATGGCCAAGCTGTTAGACAGACAGAATCAATGTCGCATATTTCCAAGTGAACTAACAAACTTTCCAACAGTTTGAAGCCATCTTTGGTTCGGTGGTTCAAGGGTTCGATTCCTGGCCGATGCACTTCTAGACCTCACTCATCCGGTTGTAAACCTGTGAAGGATGGTAGATTGGTGATCAGGCTTATGGAACTCCAACACCTAAGAAAACAAACACCACAGCTACTGAATGTCAGGTGATCCACTATTGGGAAACTCTGCAAAGCCACTCGAAGTGAATATAGGAATAAGGCAAGGCTGACGTCGCACACAAAAACTCAAAGATCTACAGGCGTTAAACATTCAACCTGCAAAAGAAGCAACAAAGATGGCACTTCAAGTGAACGTAGAGAATACGGAGGTGATAGAGATAACCAATCAACCAGCCACCGCCAAAAGCAACAATAAGCAGCATGAATCACGATCAACGAGACAGAGTGATTGAAAGAGGTCACTTCCTTCACTCACTTATCTGGGTGGGCACCATCGTTTGAACTAGAGGCATATGGTATTGATGAGGATGTCGAAACGAGAGTATCAGAAGGACAAGACATGATTTCATCACTGTGAAATCAGTTTGAAAATCTTCTGCACTCTACAGCAGGAAGAATGAAACTAGAATATTCACTACTGATTTTAAGTCGGTCAGTTCCTCTGTATGGGTGAGACACTTGGTGTGTTTGTGTATGAGTGTCAGGAGAAGCATTTGTGATAGGCGACTGCAGACTACTGTGAACAGCTGCCTTCGACAATTTGATAAGACTTTTGAGTGATGTAGTGTGCCAGGTGATTTCTCGAGTGGATGGTGAATGGCGTTGATATCTTGTCTTCTTTTGCTGTTGGGTGGGTCTTTTGGTGTGCACAATATTGAATGAAGTGAGTCAGTCTGTCTGATGGTTGGTTGTTAGGCTTTTGTATGACGTCTATTTCAAATGTTCTTAATATTCAAGCCGTTAGTTATATGGGTATAGAAGAATGAGCATGGTTTCTTCTTGGTATTTCGATTTGAGTTCAAACAGTTATTCTGATGAAATCGTGGGCGTATTCCTTATTCTTGAAGGCAGTTGACAAATATTTCTCCTGAATTCTCTTCAGCACTGGAGTGCTGCAACAGTGTGTTTGAACTCCTTCAATCAATGCTGATTCACACTTTCTTTTGTGTAAGTCATTGGCTTGTTGATGTTATATGTAGCTGAGTATCTGATCTGTCAGTCTGTCCATCCGTCTGTCTGTCTGTCTGTGTAGTGATTTTTTGTATACTTGTGTTTCGAAGTTTTGCTGTGTATTCTTTCTCTTGAAGAAGGTGTGTATCTCAGGAAGGAATTTTGTTGTCTGATTCTTGGCACAATTCAATCATCAACCAGCTGAGAGAAAATAACCAAATCAAAATCACCCATCTGAACTGCTTTTTTCTCCATTATTTTGTATTTTAATTTCTCTTTACGTAATGCCACTTCATGATTGCGTCTACCCTGTCGCCAAAGTGTGCTATAACCAGTGTCGTGCTAGACTTGAAAATTCGAGAAACTGAAAAGTTCAGAGGTATATATGTATATCTCACCCTGAGCGATGGTCACATCACTGAGCAGTTTGTTCAATTCTTCATCATCGCGGATGGCTAACTGCAAGTGATGAGGACTGATACGGGTCTTCTTGTTGCCATTTCAAGCACATCACTGGCCAGGTACTCTATGACGGCTGCCAAGTAGTCAGAGTTTCAACATCAACGCGTTCAGCGTAGTTACCCCAGCGCAACAGGCGATGCACATGACCAACTGGGAACTAAAGACAAGCGCCAGTAGGTCGATTTTTAGTTTAAGCAGGAGACTTTACATGTGTATGCATACATACATAAACTTATGAAAAGTTTCACAAATTTAACTCTCATGAAGGCTAGTCATAATGATGACAGAATACTCCATTTCCGCCCTTTTTTGTACACAGATAATCTTACAATTGCTTATCATTTTCTACAACAAAGAGGCAAGTTTTCTTCTAACGATAACAGCATATGTACAGTTTAAATATATGTGTACGGATGTTTGTATGTGCGGGTGTATGTATGTTTGTATGCTTGCGTGCGTGCGTATGTGCGTGTGCATTATATCTGCGCATTTGCTGCAATCATTTTCTATAATTATTATTAATATTAAAAACTGGATACAGGTTTGATCCCAAGCTGACATCAGTTGGAAAACCAGCATGAAGTACTGGGGCGCTGTGACTAGGACTCTTCACTAGTATGAACCCCTCTCCTGGGGTTGAAATCAGAAACTTCAGGTTACAAGGCAGGCTTTTAGAACATTCAGTCTGTGGGACTCGATCCAATGACCTATGAATTCCACTTTCTGCTAATTCCCAATGCGTATGTGCAGCGTAAGTAGCAGCCAAGGTCATGAGCAGCTAACCATTCTCTTCCCTGACCCCATTGGTTACGACTATTCAGAAGAATTTCAGGTTAATGTTTGCGTAGAGCCACTCGCATCATCTTTCAAGTGTTGGTTTTCAGGGATTTGACCAGTTAAAAAGTTTGATCACCAGCAGAAATTACTTAGAGAACCATTAGCTGCATATACTCCTTAGCCCAAGTGGATTACGAACCTAACACCTCAAAGTCCCGAGACAAGTCTAATCATCTGCAATTAATAGTGTCCTCTGATCTGGTTGGTTCGGTTGCGGAGCTTTCGTCGTCTTTCTGGACAACATCTTCAGTGCAATATTTAGTTAGCATGAAGTTAAATGGTTTAAATTTCTTCGTGAGTGATATAATTACGTCTCCTGGTAACCATATTTACATATGTATTGACAATTTTCTATTGACTTGGACTTCAAACTTTCTGGTCACCTGATTTGCTTTTTATTAGTTGGTATATTTCGTCTATATTAACGTGCTTGTTAATTGCATTTTCGTTTGAGTACCAGGCTTCTTGGAATTGCCTGACTGCACTTTTGGTGTTTCCTCTGTTTAAGATTTTGACATTATCCCAGTTATCAAATTGATGACCATAATTGTCTACATGCATTGATACTAAAGAATATATATCGCGTCTTTACATGGCTGGTTTGTGTTCTTGGATTCTAATTCGAAGGGGACGCCCACTTTGATTGGGATAATGTCGAAATCTTAGACAGAGGAAACACCAAAAGTGCAGTCAGGGAATTCCTAGAAGCCTGGTACTCAAACGAATGTGCAATTAACAAACACGGTAATATAGACGAAATATATCAACTTATAAAAAGTAAATCAGGTGACGAGAAAGTTTAAAATCCAAGTCAATAGAAAATGGTCAATACATGTGTAAAGATGGTTACCCTGAGACGCAATTCTGTCAGCACCCATAAAGAAATTTAAATCATTTCACTTCATGTTAAATATTGCGCTGAAGGGGGATGTTGTCCAGAAGGACAATGAAAGCTCCGCAAACAAACCAACCAGCTCAGAGAACACTATTAGTTGCAAATAATCCACCTGAGCTAAAAATCTGCTCTATTATTTCAAAGTCTAATAATCATTCAATCACCAGTATGGAATCCAATAATCTATGAATTCTAGCTTCTGTCATTCCGCGGTTAATAATGTAATTCCGTTCCTAGTGATTGAATAGTCAACACTGTCGCCTCAGAACCAGAAAGTCCTGAGTTTAACCCCTGAAGAAGGGGTCATGACTACGTGCTTTTGGGGAGTCTTAAACTAGAATTCCCTGGTTCTTAATGGTTGCCTAATATTCAGTAGATTCATCCTTAAAACTCTTCAGTTGAATACTAGTCTGCATAAAGTGCGACATATACTATTTAAAATGGACTGAGATATATGTGAGTTTTCTCAGACACTTCATGTATTTATTCCCCTTTATCAGTATGAATAAATCAAGAACAACAGTGGAGGTTTCTGCAGAATAAGAGCATGGCACCATCATTGTTTATTTCGTTCGTTTGCTGACTTCTCATCAGCTGAGCTGCGCACTGCCTGGAGAAATTATTATTGTTTATGTACAGAGACAGTTTTAATATATTTGCAAATTCTACATGATGAAGTTAGTAACAGGAGACTCCAAACTTAATGAACAGTGCTCAGAAAATTACTCTTATATACATTTTTACACAGGGAGTTCAAGTTTAAGCAAAGTGAATATATGCATATGATGGTAAAAGTGTTACGTAATAAAGAAGAGAGATGAAGAAGATGATGGATGAGTAATTAATAAATCGTGTGACAATGTACTGAGTTCAACTGAAATCATAGAAACAAGAGACAAGCAAAATTACACTTCATCAAAGAGAGGGACGGGAGTGAGATAAAAGCCAAAGGTTACGTAATCAAATGAAAGAGAGAAAGACAGTGAAGACATCTAGTCACCAGGCAGCAGGTCAAGGGAACACTGGTTACAACTGCTTCTTTCTGAACACATAAATATGGTTTCAGGCGTTTGATAGAGGTTGCTTCAGTTAACGTGAGAAGAGAATTGAGCTCTTCTGTCCACTGATAATTTGAAAGGATTTCGCGACTTCCACCTCATGATCCGTATCAAGAAGATACCTGATAGTGGCACCATTGTAAGCGTTTGTTCACTTGAGACGTAGGCTTTTCAGTGCATGTTCAGAAAATTGAATGTATGTCCTTCTTCTTTCTGTTCTCGCAATGTAACTGTTCCCGCAGATACACGCAAATTTGTATACACAGTTGGAGTTGTTAACAGGAGAGAAATGGGTATCTGTCGACTTTTGATTGCACCGAAATGCAGCATGTTGTCCGATAGACGGGAACCAACTTAGCTAGCTGAACGATAGACTCTGGCTAGCGACTTACTCACTCTTCTGTTGACTACTGCTGCAACTGTAGGTATGCATTCACTTTTCTTAAACTTGAACTCCTTGTGTGAAAATGTATGTAAGAGTAATTTTCGGAACAGTGTTCACTAAGTCTGAAACCTCCTGTCACTAACTGACATCATGTGAAATTTGCAAATATGTTAAAATTGTCTCTGTACACAAACTTAATAATAATAATAATTTATTTAGGCTGTAAGCAGCAGCTGATGACAAGTCAACGAACGAACGAAATAAGCAATGGTCGTACCATCTTTTGTTCCGCGCAAACCTCCACTGTTGTTCTTTCTCTGTTCGAATATGTGAGTAATAAACAAATTGCAATGGACCAGTCAAAATAAAAAGACGGGATGAACGTGTTCTACTTATTATCTATCGTGTTGCTATCGCTGATTCACTGTAGTTTATTCGTTAGTCACATATATTCTTATGTACTTCTTATAGTATGTATAACATTATATGTGGAGATTAAACTGGGAACTACTTAAACACAATAGGGTTCACCTATCAACTTCATTGAACAGCCAGCTATATGACAGTGCCGCATGTCAACTGATCCAAAACAGAGAACTCAGTGATGACTCTTCACTGAAGACATAAGTACTTTGGACCGACAAGAAGACACTAGAAGATTTGAGCTTCGTCGCACAAACTTGAAGGCTTACATGCCGGAAGCAACAAGCTGATACAAGAGACAGACAGAGAGGAAGGGAAATGAGATGAACAAGAGAAGTCGGAGGTGGCTGAAGATAACCAACCAACACCACCACCAGCAACAGCAATAACAACAAACACGAGTCACTGTTCATGGGAGAAAGTGATTGAAATAGGTCACTTCCTTCACTCACTTATCCAGGCAACAACGTTTCAATTACACACAGTCAACACAGGTGAGGATACCAAAACCAGAGTATCAGAAGGGCGAATTCAGTGAAATCAGTCAGGAAATCTTCCTCACTCCGCAGCATGAAGAACGAGATTTGGACTTTCAACGCAAATTTTAAGTCACTTCTTTGCATGCACCTGAAACTTGGTGCGTGTGTCATGGAAAGCACTTCCAGCAGCCAGCTGCAGAACTTCATCAACTGGTGTCTTCACTGACTCTATACTGAAGGTCAGCTGTCCAGTCTGGAACAATCATCAGCAAGATAATCTGTGAACGAACCCATCAGAAACCTATTGCCGAAGCAAAACATATTTTGGAGAAAGTGAAGATTGAATGGATGTACTCTGAGGATACCGATGAGTGACATATGAGGCCAGGCCATCGCTCAAGAGGAATTTGGGTGTGGAACGACGAGTTAGGATGTGTGTTATTCACCGGGAGATTGTGTGAAGAGGCGATGAGAGACTACTGGTTGTTGTGGCACCAGTTGAAAATAGCTGTAGAGGTGACTAAATGTATATGTTTTTTTGAAGTCCTGTGTTGCACTGGGGACCCAATGGAACAACAATAATGGTAATAACAATAAAATATGGAGAGTATCCAGCTGATAAATTCCACCACAGTTTGATGAACCTACTCAAACCTCCCTGTTCTAAATTTGAATCAGGAGACAAGTGTTTTTGATTAGCAAACAGTCACAGTGATATTCTAAATCATTTAACATACTCCATACTATTTAAGTGAATTTTAAGTTTTCCCGTCGATTGATTGGACCGAAGTGATCGGTCTCAGATTGACATGTCGGCTTCTTGTGCAGATGCTTCGGCGATGTCTGGGCATGTAATTAGAAGTTAACTGGGGGATGGTGACTAACAGTGGAATCCACCAGGATGCGCATTTCGTCTAGATGACGGGCCCCAAATAGGACGAAGCGCGCATCCTGGTGGATTCCGATGTTAGTCACCATCCACCAATTATACTCCATACTCTCTCTAATAAGTGTCATGGAAAAGTGTTCAGTTCAAATTCTTCAACTTTTAGAAAACTGAGAGTTGGCGGATTTTGTATAGTCGAGCCAGTGATGCTGACTTGCCTCCTGGAGTAGTCTAGTTCTAACTGCACTATGCTTCAAGACAATTCGAAGACTTCATTGATTATAGTATTTAGATTTGGCACGAGAATGTTTTGAGTATATTGGCATTTCCAGCAGTACTTCACTCTATATAGTTCCTCAAGCACAATGGCCGTATAACCGACCTAACTGTTTTGAAAATCCGCGGTTGTCGGAACATCGCTGAGAAAACATCCTACAACCAGTCATCGATAAGGTTGAATTATCAAAATGGGAATTGTCTATTTTCCGTAGCCTACAAAATCGTCAACTCATTGAAACTCATATATATATATATATATAACCACTCTTTCCATATCTCTCAGTAGCTTGAACAATTCATCTCCAACATTCTCTGCATCGTCTTCGCCATTAGGAAGTCTTGAAAATTTTGTAGTGTCCTAAGAAACGCTAGCTTTATCTGATAATACGATCCCAGCCCCTTATCCGGTTTAGTTTTGAGAATGCTCCCGTTCGATCGGATTCTCTTTAAGGCTTCAGTGTGAGCTTTTCTGGGAAGATACTTTTCTCACTACCCCTTCTTAATTGACGCCGGCAACCGTTTTCAACAAGAGAGGCTTTCAGTTGTTCTAGCTGCAGTTTAGATGATCGTTTGCTTGACTGAAAGGATTTACAAACTGTGATTCAGTCTCTAATCTAATTGGACGGTTTCAAAAAACATCAAAAAACTTTGGATCCAATGACAACACCTCCAGTTCTTGCTGGCGTTTCAAAGTCCTTGCCTTCGGCCTTATCTGTGTTCTCCGCAGAAATTTCCAATAGAATTCTGATTTAACTAAACTCTTTGCCTCAAATCAGACTGACTCGATTGAGAGCAAATGTTTTCAGCTTGAAAGATATTCATAACAACGTGAAACTTCAGTTGATAGTTCGCGAGATGATCTACGGTCTGTGTTTTGTGAACTACACCAAGATGGTTACTGATTGAACTCATTAAAAAACGCACTGCCCACCTAATGAAAACGTTGAACAAACAATCACCACCTCGGTCACCTAGAACTAGAGGTGCTGTCCTTAGAAACAAGGTTTTGTGATGTCGAAAACAGTATAATAAGGTCAGAGACTGAAATACAGTTTGTAAATCATTTTAGTCAAACAAATGATCTAATTCCATCATATCAACTGCAGCTAGAACAACTAAAAGCCTCTCTGGGTGAAAATTGTTGCCAGTACCAATCAAGAAGGTGGACTGAGAAAGGTGTCCTCACTGAAAAGCTCACGTTGAAACCTTGAAGAGAATCCGATCGAACGGAAGCACTCTCACAACTAGGCCAGATATTCGGGTGGGATCGTATTATTAGATAAACTGCTGACTGCATTGATAAGATGACTAGCGTTTCCCAGGACACTACATAATTTTCAAGACTTCCTAATGGCGAAGACGATGCAGAGAATGTTGGAGATGAATTGTTCAAGCTACTGAAAGCTATGGCATCCAATCAATATCATGTCTTTCCATAGCCCTCTTAAATGATTATCTGCTTATAAATGATGAATTAAGGGCAATTTTCAACAATTTTTTGATGCACTGCTACTGTTTTTTATTCGGTGTGACATTCTTTTTGCATGTGATTATGGCTCGGTGCACACGTAAATGCCGACACACACATACACACACACCTACACACGCAAACACAAAAGCCGGAATGCTTATTTGCACGCATTTATTTATTGACTGGTTTTTTCGCCGGGTGACATGCATACAAATCGAAACATACTAATATGATACGTACTCTTTTAGCGAAATTCTCACGTATTCTGTAGATAACTTTGAAGTTCCTCTGTGGCTGAGTGAGCTTGGTGTCCAGATGCCTTGATTAGGTGTTCCAGGATAGAGCTGAGGAGACATGCGCATTATTTTTTCGCCTTTATAAAGCCATGATTGTGGTAAGTGTTCGATGATACGTTTGGATAACAAACGGTATGTACGGCCGACATACCTAGGTTCACAGGTGCAGCAGGTGCATTGGTAGATGCACACTGATGAAGCTGGTCGACGGTGTTAGTTTATCCCCCACGTTCATATGAATCGTTGGTTTCGTAGAGAAAGTTAGTAAAAGTTCATCTGAGAAACAGGTTTATTTTTTCAGTGAGCGGGACTGGCGGTTTCCCAGTATTCCTGCTGATGAGTCTCCATTGAATTGTGCATTCAAGTAGAGATGCTTTTTGGATGCAGAAATTTTGGGCGGTTTAAGCGGTTCAGGTTTCTGGGTAGCCATTTTCGAGGAGGATTCTCTTCATAGTGTTTAGTTCCTCTTCCATAGCATCAGGGGTGGAAATTCTACGGAATCTATGGCTCAGTGAACGAATCAGGTTCCTTTTTGTTTATGGGGTCACCTAATTATGAAAGCTAGTGATTTGTGCGTTCCATGTCGACTTTTTATTGTTCCATCTTGTTCGCTCACGTCCACTCACTGAAAAAACCTGCTTCTCAGATGAACTTTCACTAACTTTCTCTACGAATCCAACGATTTGGATGGACGTGGAGGATAGGCTAACACTGTCGACCAGCCTCATCAGTGTGCATCTACCAATTCACTCGCTCCACCTGAGGACCTATGAATGTCGGCAGTACCCACCGTTTGTTATCCAAACGTATCATGGAATATTCACCCATAGTCATGGTTACATAAAAGAGAAAACAGATGGCTCATGTTCCCCCAGCTGTATTTTGGAACACCTGATCGAAGCATTAGGACACTATGCTAACCTAGCCACAAAGGAACATAATAATAATTTACTCAGGGTGAATCAAAAATCTTGCATTGCTTGCTTGCCTGCCTGCCCGCTGCCTGTTGACCAATTTAATTGCTTCTTGACAATTTAACAGAGCACTGTCTTGTTTTCCATTGGGTTATTTTGATTTTATCAGCCAAGAATATTTTTAATACGGAATGTGTTCCTCCGTTTGTTTTTCAGGTATTCAGTTTCCACCAACAATCAATGAAATGCCAGAGAAAGTTGAAGTATCCCCTGGGAAGGGAACAAATCTCACCTGTCGAGCTGGTGGTTTTCCGATACCAATGGTATGGTGGTCAACGCTAGGTACACCAGCTGGACCACGTCATTCAGGACCAATTATTCTAGCCGAGCGTGCATTGACAGAACCTCAACCACACGAGGCTACTTTACGGTTGACAGATATTACAGAGTCATCTGGATATAATTGTATTGCTAAAAATGGTCTGGGTCTGGTACGACGAAATGTTAGTGTTATTGTTAGACGTAAGTTAGTTTCTTTTATTCAATCTCATACATATCATAGTATCAAGTTTTAATTTACAGGGATTCGATTGGTTGCAGCATTTCACTGTGGACTAAAATTGGCTAGAGAACCATTGGAAAACCAGCTGGGAGTATTGAACAGCTCTTTGTCCTACTTTCGAACTTTTCAGTGGCGCGCAATCATCACCGGGGTTCAAACACAGGACCTTCCGTTACGAAACGGGCTCCTAGACCATTAAGCCACTGAGACCCAACTCAATGGTCCATGAATTCTAACTCCTTCTGGTCTACGAGTTCCTCTCCTAACCGGAAGATTTTGGTTTCCAACTTTGGTCGGTGCATACTGTTGACGAGCCCCAAACTAGAATGAAACAGCTACCCAGTACTCCCAGGTGGTATTCCAATGGTTTGCTAACTGATACCATAGAATGCTTTCAGTGATACAAGAACTAGACTTGTAGTCATGCTCCGCCGTTTCATTGATGGAGTACTTGTCAGCCACACCGGATTTCAGGTCGATGCACCCTACAAGCACTTTAAATTTACTAGCTGTAAGTAAACCAGGAAGGTTGTACGTGAGGCTAATGACACCACAGTGTTTTTCACGCATTCGATCAAAACTTTCCATACGGGCTAAGTTGTTCAAAGTGTTCACTGGTTTTTATGAAACAAAGGATGTACAAGTGGTTTTCGTCAAATAAACCGTAGGAATTAAATTACCTCTATTGTACTGAGGTAGAAGTGTGCTTATTCTTCAAATCTATATTTAGTTTACGTTGTAGACATGATAGTTATATCACTGGACAACTTGTTTGACCTTGGATTAATTTCTAACTAATGAGAACAATCTATTCTCTTCTGACCTAGCCGACTTTTAATATGGCTAAGAATATATCAATCTTTAGAAGACAAAAGAAAATTTGGGAAAATAAATATTGCCTGTGATAATTTCATCTTCCCGCCCTATAATTATATATACATAGAATATTCTAGATTAGTCATCATTAACAATATTGGTGTTTTAAATACTATCGGTTTTTTAGGATCAGTGGAATAACAGACAGTTCAAGAAAGACGCTTAAGTTACAATAATAACCATACAAATGTAATAGTAAATAGAATATCAAATAAAATTGAGGAAATCTCTACAACAACAAATTAAGGATCATTAAAACCCAAGCAAAATACTAAGCCGCATCATCCTGGAGAGAATCAAACCTGCCAACCTGGATGAAAACCTTCGACCGGAACAGGCTGGATTCAGGAGAAACAAGTCATGCATTGATCAGATCGCCACATTACGGATCATCATTGAAGAAAGCTTGGAATGGTAGTCACCTCTCTATCTCAACTTCATCGACTTTGAAAAGGCCTTCGACAGCGCGGCGTCGATCGAGAGGTGATTTGGCAACTACTTCGCTACTACGGGGTGCCACCGACAATCATACATCTCATCCAACAGTTGTACGACAATGCTGCATGTCAAGTAATCCACGACAGGAAACTTACAGAATCCTCCGGAGTGAGGACAGGAGTAAGACAAAGCTGGTTGCCTACTATCGCCAGTGATTTTCCTGATTGCAGTAGACTGGATAATGCGACAAACAGCCTGCAATGAGGAAACAGGCATAAAATAGACACACACAAAAAACTTGGAGGATCTGGACTTCGCCGATGATATATGTCTGATTTCCCACAAGCTGGAAGACATGCAAGCGAAAAGCAACAAGTTAGCAGAAGAAACATCCAGAGAAGATAGCACTTCAGATGAACATAGAGAAAACAGAGGTGATGAAGATTCCTGACCAACACCAACAGCAGCAACAACAACAGACAACAATCAGTCCAAATGGGAGAAACCTGAAAGAAACAACCTCCTTCACCTACCTAGCTGGGAAGCATCGTTTCACCTACATGCCGACGGAACTGACGATGATATCAAAGCAAGGATCGGAAAAGCAAAACAAGCTTTCACTACTCTCAAGTCTGTGTGGAGGTCAACAACACTCAGTATCAAAAATAAGATCCGGATTTTCAACTCCAATGTGAAGTCAGTCAGTGCTACTATACGGATCAGAGACTTGCACTGCGCCTCATAAAGAACATCTCAAACAAACTACAGAGCTTCATTGACAGTTGTCTTCGCTCAATACTACTCAAGATCAGATGGCCAGAAAAGATCAGCAATAGAGATCTCTGGGAACGAACCAACACAGCAAGAACCGATTGTGAAACAAATAGACAGGAAGAAATGGAGATGGATTGGCCATACTCTGAGGAAACCATCAAGTGATTGACACCACTAGACAAGCCATTGCTCGAGTGGAACCCGAAAGGGAAGCGACGAGTTGGTCATCAGCATGAGGTTGACTTGGAGGAGGTCATGTGAAGAGGTGAAGACTCTAGCAGAGAACCGAACGCAATGGAGACGCATGGGTGAAGCCCTATGTTCCTCTAGGAATTAAAGGAAACAATAATAATAATAAATCCATGATGTATATCTGCCAATCTGACTGCTTCTGGGGAGCCAGTTACACAGGCCGTACAATTAATCATGTTTATCGCTGGATTTCCGAACACCATCCTGCACAGAGGTTAAGTAAGGAAGAAACAAACTCCATTCATAGTTCTCTACCTCGTCCAAACAGAACACAAAATTGATGTAAACAAGGTGGCTTTCAAAGTCATCCACCGTATACCAAATAAGCCTAATTTTACCTCAAGAGCTCGCTACCACCACGTGTATTGCTGAAGTTGTTTAGGATCTACATTAAGAAGCCTAACTTATGTATCCAGAAGAAAAAGAACAAGTTGGCTGGTTGGTTGAGACACTTTTTTCACTCTACTGACCATCACTCAACGTCTTAATGATCCTTAATTTATTATTGTAGAGATTTCTTTAATTTTATTTGATATTCTATTTACTATTACATTTCTATGCTTATTATTATGACTTATGCATCTTTGAATAATTAAAATAACGATTGCAGCGAAGAAAATTTTCTTTTCGACGAAGTCACCGTCAACTAGGTAGCTGTACATTCGTGTATTTATAACAAATGGATGGGAAAGTTCCAGAATAATTTCCCGTTAAAGGTCAAATCAATAAAATTACAATTAGGAATTAGAATGCCATAATAAACAGGGCGATGGATAAAACTCAAACAAGTAGCATCATAATTACTGAGAGGATTGACATCGATTGTGCAATTGGGGGTTAAAAATGTCGATATAACAAAATTAGACAGGATTTTTGGATAACAAAATCTAGTGGGATCATAACTAATGTGACGAATAATTGTTTATGCAATCAGGGATTGAATACGTAGAAATAATAAAATAACATGAATAAACAGGAAGTTTTGATAAGAAAGGCAATGGGATGGTCATTACTATGCATCTTTCTTGAACTGTAATTCCATTGTGATCTTACTTTACAAATCGATATTATTTAAAAGACACCAATATTTTTAATGACGACTATTCTAGAATATTCTGTGTATACATGTATATATAATTTATAGGGCCGGAAGTGGAACGAATATTCTTTGCTCAAATTTTCTTTTGTCTTATAAATATCTGAGTCAATATTTTCGCCATATATAAATATGCTGTTTTTCCTTAATAAACTTTTTTTTTAACTTCTCGCGTTACAACATGAATTCTTATATAATGAAAAAGCAAATAATACCAGATACATCTGAACATTAGTGTTACTGTTACGGAGGTTTCTTTTCGTCACAAAGGCGTACGTAATACCCGTTGACAACAAAATAGAATATGGGTGGAATCGAATTTATGCCGTTTGTTTTCGTACTCACTGGTCACGCACTAGGTGCAGGTTCGATTTCCGGTTTCACGAATATAAGTATACAACTTGGGCACTGTTGTGGTAGAGTGTAAATCCATTATGGATAAAATTTTATTTTGATAAATCATACAGTGCAGTGTTATACAGTAATATTAAATGATGACCACGTTTTGAGCACAAAATATTGCTACTCATAATTATATCAAGTCACTCACTCACAGAACTTTTCCCTTCATTTATATATATGTGCGGAATCGATTAGATATTTGAACAAAAATCAATATGAGGTAATGTACATTCAGAAATATTAATTCGAGTGCTATTGATCAAATAAATCAGATGGGAAATAAGACGAGTGTTTTTATAGTCGAAATAAGTAACTTGTTAGAATGTTATGATGTACGTCAATTGAAATAGAATACAATTAAGAGAGAGGTTGATTACTGAATCCTGCCTGGTTCATCGAGTCTACACCCAACACAGCAAATGCAACAGAAATAACTCAGGGCAAATATCAGAGATATGCATGGAAGATATTATTATCACTAGTCATTCAAATCAGAGGAGGATAATAAATAATCCTTAATTGTATTCTATTTCAATTGACGTACATCATAACATTCTAACAAGTTACTTATTTCGACTATAAAATCACTCGTCTTATTTCCCATCTGATTTATTTGGTCAATAGCACTCGAATTATTATTTCTGAATGTACATTATCTCATATTGATTTTTGTTCAAATATCTAATCGATTCCACACATGTATTAATTTGTGCTTCAAACGTGGTCATCAGTTAATAATACTCAGTGTATAACACTGTGTGATTTATCAAAATACAATCTTATCCATAATGGATTTCCGGTTTAACTAATTACCAAAATTCGAATGGCGAATATAATAGGCCAAGAGAAGAAGGAAGGTTGGGAGTGAAGCCAACAACCTTATCACTACTGAACTAAACTTGGAGACCTGAAATCTTCCAAAGAAAGCAGAAATCCTGATTGAGATCAAGCTACTGAAGGCATCAGGACCGCACGAAATTTCCCCCATACCGAAGGACTGAAAATGAACCTAGAGATTGTGGTGAATGTATTCACGCCATTATTGCAAAAGATTTAAAAGGAAAGAAGGAAGGAAAGGTGCCTACTCACTGGAATAAATGCTGGCCACCTTGTCAACCTACCAAAGAAGGGCGAATTACGCCTCACTCTCCAAGAACTGGCATGGAATAATGCTTTTGCCCACCCACGCCAAGCAAAAGGCTAATTCACGTCATCCTGGAGAGGGAAGGGGTAGGAGATGCACTGGATTTAGTACTCCGCCTTCTTCACCGAAACAAGCTGGTTGGGTTCAGGAAAGGCAAATCATGTGCTGATCAAACTGCACACATCTACACATCATCATCAAACAGAGCATAGAATGGCAATCGAACCTCCAACTCGACTTCGAAAAGGCCTTCGACGGACATAGTTGACCGAGAAGTACTTTAGACACTACTTCAACACTACAGACTGCAGTGCGCCAAATCTTTATAAACCTCATTCAACAGCTATATGATGGTGACACGTGTCAGGTGATCCACAAAGAAAAACTCAGCGAAGCCTGCCTTTGCAGTAGTGAACACAGGGGTAAGACAATCTGGCTGGCTACCTGCCTGTTATCACCAAGGATGACATCCTTAATTGTAGTGAACTTGATCATATGTGAAACTGTGCGTTGGCAGTGAGTGAGTGGGAAGACAAGAATGTGCTGCACTAACCGATGAGAAAGAGGACTGTAATAGATCTGGATTTCGCACTTGGATGATTTATGCCACTGAATATCACACAAGCACAAATTGAAAGATTCACAGGCGAGGGGAAACTGTCAACAAACTGGCTGAAGACGCTGGCCGGCAGGCAGCGAGGACAGGACTCCATACAGGTGATGAACATAGACAAGGTGCAGACGGGCCCGATGAAGATAAATAACCAACTAACGACAACAAAAGCCGCACCAATCACCATGAAAGGGAGAAAGAGGTTGAGAGAGGTCACTTCCTGTCTTCATTTATCTGGCCTAGGCTGCAGCTAAGTTTCAGTCACACACAGTTGGAATGGATGAAGATGTCAAAACCACTGGGAATGGAATAGGCAAGATACGCCTTCATCAATCTGAAATCACTTTGGAAATCTCCTGCAATAACTCAGCCAGCATACAGAACAAGATTCGGATTTTCAGCGCAAATGTCAATTAGTCAGTGCTTCCATGTGGAATAATAAAAAGACGGTTGCAGCGAAGGAAATTTCCTTTTTTATGATGTCATCAACTAGGCTGTACATTCGTGTATTTATAGCAAATGGGTGAGTTAGAAGCTTGGTCAGCACATGAGTCACAGAAAGCACTTCCTACAGGCTACTTTAGACTTTCATCAACAGCTGCCTACTACGTTGGCTGGCTCCATACAGAAGATCAAATGGCCAGCCAGCCGATCGACCAGCAAGAATTAGCAAAACGAAACTGTGTCAATGAGCGAGGCACTGAAGATCCTGTTGCTCAACACATGTGCAGAATAAAATGGAGATGGATTATAGAATACGTTGAGGACGGAGGCAGTCGAATGACATCGCGCTCTAGACAGGCAAACACTCGAGTAGGAGGTGAATGGGAAGTGACGAGTGAGTGACTTATTTGTCGTACATTGAGAATATATCGCAGGATTTAATCGAAAATTTGCCACTTTATAGAAGGTATTATGTAGATGATATTGTAGTCACCAGTGATAAGTCTTGTTCTGACACCTCAGTTCAGAATAGCACATCACTTACATCTGTAGAAGAGGAAGATAATTGTTTATCTTTACTAGACATATTGTTTAATCGACGGATTGGTGGATCAATAAAATGATCTATTTATAGAAAACATACATGGACAGCAAAATATCTTACTTACCACAGTTTCTGCCCTACTCGGTACAAAAGAGCCTTAGTAAGGTGCCTCTTCAGTAGAATCCAACGAATATGCACTGAAGACAACACTTGATGAAGAAGAAAGAAAGTTGACACAAACTCTGGTTGATAACTATGATCCATACAAGTTCATCAGGAGATATAAAGTAGTCAGAACACCTAGACCCGCTCTACAACTGGCCCCTAAGAAAGACGTGTACATCAAGCTGCCCTATGTGGGCATCATAGCAGCTTGATAACTAGACAGAGGCTGAACGCTGCTGTCAAAAAGACTTTTTATGCAGCTAATATCATAATAATTGAGAATGTGAAGCCAATATCTCTATATAAGCCCTTCGAACATGCGAAAAATGATGTCACATCACACTGTATTTACCAATTTGAATGTAAGTGTGGACACACACATACGGAGGGCTTCAGAGCATATTCTCGAATGACTCCAGAAACAAATGGAATCTTCAGAACCCATTAATGGTGAGAACAGGAGACCTAGCTAGTTCTCTATTGCGAAATATATTATAGAGACAGGACATAAAAGTGACGTTAACACATCTTTTAAACCAATCTATAAACGCGTGTTTAGGTGAGGGCGTATCCTAAAGTTTGTGGAAGCCCTAGCTTGCAATTAGAAAGTTTAAACCACCTTCATGCGTTCAAAGCAGCAACTCGTCACCACACAAAACCACCTTCCTTGGTAAATTTTGTTTTGATACCATAGCAGATGTACTATTTGGTTTAGTGGTCTTCATTATTATTTTGACCTTCAATATGTCCTTTTAACTTGACCTAAGTAGTCTATTTTCTCACCTCTTAACTCTTTATTAATTTCACATATGTATATTTCTATGACAAGTCTGTGTGTGATCAGATTGTTCGAAATGTGTTGCGCAAATACACAATACACGATTCAGACAAATTACGTCTTCTTATTGCTTTATCTAAATTCATAAAGGGAACTAATTGTTTCAAATATAGATTCAACCTATTTCATGCATCAGTTCAGATATCTGTCGACTATGGTAGTAACGACCTGACTTACAAGGTGTCACATCACATGCTCTACTAACAACCTCTAATACCCTACTCAATATAGAATCGTCATTTTTGAGTAGCCCAAGAAAGACTAAGGTTGGGGAGCGATAAACATCAATGGGTAAGCTTCAAGAGTAGTGGTTGGGTGACACCCACCTGATTGTCTAAACTTCTTAATGTAAAAGATTAGTCAGAACATTTTCTTAGAAATCGACAACAATATATGGGGTGATTGACCAAGGGGGTTTAGAGGATAGAATTATTTCAAGGTATTTAATACCTGACTTAGTTTCCATTTTACTGCCCCCTATACTACAAGCATCATGTGAACGGACCAGTTTGTGTAGATCACGTTTATGCTTGAAGGTGAAGTTAACTGTTTGACTGAGATCACCAGCTAGCTGATGTCCGACAAAAGCCAATCGGACGCAACTGGTAGCACCTCTGGTCACATAATCCCAGTATTTAACAAGGCTGATTACTGCTTTTTTCCTTCTTATCTTTTCCAGAACTACCTGCTCCACCATCCAGTTTAGATGCTCGACCAATCGGTGGTACATACGCAGTACTCAGATGGCCACCGAGTATATCCACCGGTGTTGATTCCTACACAATCAGTTTACAAGTGAATGATGGTGATTTAGGCGAACTTGGCCGACGTCAGATAACTAACATTGATCCATCCGAAATGAAATCAGAAATCTCACCGAGTCTGCTAGATATAACATATTCTAAAGAAACTCCAATGATCACCTACAATCTAACTGAATTAAGCCCGTATACACTGTACACAGCACAAGTGCATGCAGTCAGTAGAGTGGCTGGTCTATCTTTGCCTAGTGATTCAGTGAAATTTAGAACTGCTGAATTAGGTGAGTTCAACTTTAATTATCATTGAAATTTTTTAATTGTCTGTGTAATCTGTAAACTGAATTTCATCTTCGAAAACGAATTTCATGCATCGGCAGTTCAATGACAGAATGATTCACTGAGTGACTGGTTTCAACGCAGAACTACTTTGCATAGATGTGCAGCAGTTCAACTTGCCATACTCTCTCCATGTACCACACAAACCAACAGAAGACAGCAAAGAGAGATTCAAAACACACAGAGAGATAATAAACAGAAGTGTGAATGAGGCAAAAAGAACAGTAATATGGAAGAACAACAGTAAAGTTTTACTCGATATGAAAAATCACAAGGAGTTAATGTCACTGCTGGCGCAGCAGTCGCCGAGAACGATTTTCAGCCATGTCACCGATTGTCCCCAGCCTTCATTGGTTCCTACGACCCTGACACATCCTGACAACACCAGCAATAGGGAATTTAAATCTTCAGTAGTGGGTGCTTCCATAGAAATCTCATGGTGGAGGATTCTTAACAATGCAGACAGGAATGAAAGTGGCTGATAATCTAACCGTCCCACAAACTGAATTAGAAACAAGTTTTGTCGGTTAATTGATCCTGCCTACGAAGGGCATCAAACAAAACAGTTCAGTTTATCTAACACCCTGCTGGAATGATTGTCAGGTCAGACTAGCAGAGCACAAAATCCTAGCAAAATAAAGATTGGTTGACCCTAATAAGATAAGAACTGTGCAGAATAGTTCAGCTATGCCACTCACTAGATGCGATCACATACAGCGAAACAATAGGATGGTGGGATAAGGTGATAGTTTTAAATTCGAATGTAACATGATGGAGGGAGGGAGAGATTGATAACCGACTGAGGCTTTATTTATCGAATCAACTGAGATGGAATATGTGTAATAGGAATGATTGAATATCTTTCCACTCAGACATCTGGAAAATTCCACTACCGTCCCCCAACTCCACAACGATGAATAGGAAAGAATAAAGAAAGCTTTAAAACGGAAGTTTCGAAGTGGTGTGGTTGTAATTGATATAAGTGTGAACAATAAATTGAGTTGGAAACTTTGTCATCCAGTAATTGGCAATACTGTCTTACTCTGTGTGTGTGATATATCTAATAAACAAATTAATGTGGAACTGCATATTACCACAATGCCCAACTTTTAAACATACATCAACATCAAATCCTTTCTGAGGTTTGAATCCGTGTCATCCAGTACTGTGGTCACAATTTTGATTTGACACTAGTAACTAGTGTGACGTATCTAGTCTTTCTTTGGTGCAGACTGAATTCTATCAGTCAGGTTGTAATGTGGCCACCATTCTAGGTAGCTCACCATCACGGTGTACATTGTTTGTGATGATATTAGATGGTTGGAGGCAATCGGCAGGAAGCCTTGGACCTAGGTTTCGTGCTAGTTGGCACTCTTCAGCAAGGCGTATCTACAACCTTGAAGGAACTCATGTCCCTTCTGAGATTCGAACCCGCGTCACCCAGTGCTGCAGTCACAGACGTTACCACTGAGCCCGAATAGCTCATTTCCTTCAAGGTTGCAGATACGCCTTGCTGACGAGTGCCAACTAGCAGGAAACCTTGGCGCAAAGCTTCCTTCCGATTGCCTCCAACCATCTAATATCATCACTGTGATCACAAGAATGTTACTAGTGAGCTATTTGGGCTGAACTGTAATGGATACTTCGATCAGACACTAACTAGTGTCATACATTATTTGCTTTTGTTTTGATGCAGGCTAAATTCCATCAGTCATTATATGATGTGAATATTGTTCGCCTCATTGTTTCTAAGCCGTCTTTATCTGACAATCTTGTTTTCCACTCCAAGTGAAGGTGCCACCGGCACTATGCAAAGTTACCGAATTCTAATTTCCCTCTCTCTCTCTCTCCCTGTTAGAAATCTTACAATAAATAAATTGTGATTTCTCTCATCCATGATTAATGCTCAGGGAATCTAATTGTTAAAAAAAAATTATATTTTTGAACACAGTAACAAAGGCACTCCTTAATGTGCACTGATGAATAGAAAGGACAATAAATTTTATAATATTATACAAATTATTCAAATAGGAGGAAAATCAATAACTAGCTAATTGGGTAACGATTTAAAAAGTAATCAGTGCCTATGTATGTATGATAGGTAGATAGGTAGGTAGGCTGTATTTACTGTCAGTAATTGAATTTATTAATCAATACTATTATTGATGCGATTATGATTATTATTATTATTACATTACTGTTATTATCTGTAATGGCTATTATAATATACCCTATATCCCTACTTTTTTTCTCTTCTTGCTTCAATTGCTTAATTATTTAATAACTTATCGCTATCATTAGTTCAGTCAGTTTATAAGTAATTCGTCAATCCGATATGACAGTTCACTTTTATGCCTTCTGGATTATTTGTCCTCTCTCTCTCTCCCTTTGTTGACTTATCATGAGCTTATATATATATATGTCTGTATGGATGCACACTCAAGCAGGTAAACACAGAAGTTGAGTAGGATTGAGGTGAAGAAAATCGACATTAGAATGTTTTGCCTCACAGGATTTAATAATAAGATGTTGGACATTATGAATGAGATGTCACGTACACTCGAAAAAAATAAACGCTTGTCTCTATCTCTATCTCACGTGCACGCTGGTGCATGCATATGAACACATACACACATACATGTATGTTTGATTTTCAAGTGTGATCACGGATTGATATCAGTTAGAGAAGCATTGAAAACCAACTATGTGGGGGGGGTGCTGGACAGCTGTTTCTTCCTAGTGCTTTGGAAGTGCTCTTCGGCAGCACGTACCCAGTAACTTCCGGTTACAAGAAAAGATGGTAGACAATACAGCCAGTAGGAGTCAACTCAGTTAACGGCATGACGGCAGCATTTATCCTCACCCGCAACACGACTGACCCTACTGGTCCCGATATCTCACTAGAACTCCAAGAAACTCCTTCCTGTAGCCAGTCGCTAGTGAGCATTATATTGATTTTCAAAAGCTGATTTGTAAATCCACCAGCTGGCAGAAGTTTTAATTCATGGGCTGGTCACTGGATCGGGTCCCAGTGGCTTGATAGCTTACCAGCTGACACTGTGCCCAGAGGTTCCTGGATTCGAACCCCATGTGGTGGGTGCGTACTGCTGAAGCAGAGTCCCAAACTAGGACAACTGAAACAGCTGTCTGGCAGTAAGTACTTCCAGGTAGTTTTCCGATGGTTCTCTAACCGATGTCATCTCATGATGAAATCCCGTAACCAATCAGATACTCTCAAACAAACACTTGAATAAAAAGAAAATTTCAATGAATTTATGGATAAAGTGAGAAAAAAGCTACTGGGGATAGATAATCCGAGTGTTATTCATAACAGGGAATTACGCAACTGTCTTTGTGTGCAATGTAACCTGTAACAGATTCTTCTTAAAAATTTCACACTGTAAGACAGATAAATGCACAAATTATTAACGAGTTTCTACAGTTGGATGGTCGTTGAACTGAAAATCCATTGACACTTGGATCCAACGTCTCTGTTGTCCTGATACCACAGACAAAGAAGGGCAGGAAGAACTAGATCTTCTAAGAGAGAAATCTTCATTCAAAGGGAAAACTCGTCAAGAATCAGCCACAGGAATATCATCAAACCAAAAGTTCATTTAAAAAAAGAAAAACACTTTACACAAACCTTGATTTCAAAGGAGACTAAACCATCCAACATCCTCAAGAGATGAATTTCATCAACATTTTGAGGAGAAGAACATTCTTCACAGGGAGGCTAAAAATAGTCTTCTCCAGTTGTTCACTAATCACTAGAAGCGTGAAATACAGGATCTCGCATCTGATCACCTTTTTGTCCCTATATCAGTCTACATGTTCCTGTGGAGCTAGGCACATTGATCGCTTGATGTGAATCGTATCTCAAGAGTGTTCAAAAATAATTTCCTGCATTATTATTATTGTTCCCTTGGGTTCCTAGTGGAACATAGGGCTTCAAATGCACGTCTCCACTTGCTTCTGTCTTCTGCTGTACTTTTCACCTGCATCCATGTTAGTCCATACTGTTTCAACTCCTCTTCACACGATCTCCTCCATGTCACCCTTGGACGTCCCACTACTCGCCGCTTCCCTTTCGGGTTCCACTCGAGCGATGGCCTGACGCGCGATGTCACCCAGTGGCCTCCTCAGCGAGTGTCCAATCCATCTCCACTTTCTCCTGCATATTTGTTGGGCGATTGGTTCTTGTTTCGTTTGTTTGTTCCCATAGTTTCTTGTTGGTGATTCTTTCCGGCCATCTGATCTTCAGTATAGAGCGAAGACAGTTGTTGATAAAGGTCTGCAACAGGCTGTTGGAAATATTCTTTGTGACACACTGGCCAAGTTTCTGATCCGTATAGAAGAACTGATTGACTTGACGTTTGTATTGAAAATCCGAATTTTGTTGTTGAGTGTTGCTGAGTGACGAAGATTTCCAGATTGGTTTCAGGTTGATGAATGTGTTTCTCGCCTTCCCGATTCTCGATTTGACATCCTCGTCCGTTCCTCCTGTAGTTGAGACAATGCTCCCTAGATAGATAAGTGAATGAAGTAACCTCTTTCAAATCCCTCCCGTTGATGGTGATTGGCGCTGGATGTTGCTGCTCTTGTTGTTGTTGGTTGGTTATTTTCATAACCTCCGTCTTGTCTATGTTCACCTGGAGTCCTGTCTTTGCTGCTTCTTCGACCAGTTTGTCGGTTTTCGCTTGTAAGTCTTCGATTTTGTGTGACATCAAACATAAATCATCCGCGAAATCCAGGTCTTCTAGGTTCTTCACGTCGGTCCAGGATATCCCTGTCTTCTCGTTTCCCACTGTCTGACGCATAATCCAGTCCACCACAATTAGGAATATCATTGGTGATAATAAGCACCCTTGTCTGACTCCTGCAACCCCCTCGCTGAGTTTTCCATTGTGGATCACTTGACATGTGCCGTTGTCGTACAGCTGTTGAATAAGGTTGATGAATATTTGTGGT